GTGAGGATGTGAATAGGCACTGTCAGGCAGCCACTTTAACATCAACACCAGGAAACAGAGAGAGATGCTACCGCTAATTACAGAAATCTGGTAAAGGAGGTAGGAAATCACACTACCCCTCAAGCATAGCCTTGTGCACCAGACCAAAACAGTAATCATGATTCATCTTTCATATGTTGTTAATCAACGCACACATGGTCCTGATTTCATGCTCCCATGAGGCAAACTGAAGGGACAATTGTTTCTGAACTCTAACATCAAGATGAATAATCAATGTTTATCATGCACATTGCTCAGTAAACTAAAAGCTTTATATCTGACATCTGCTCCTTTCATTTTAAAGCTTTCCTGGTGTTTTCAACCAAGTTAAAGTATTTTCTATTTCTACAGTCATCACTAAAAACATGAATTATCTGTACTATTTATATGCCTGCATTTTGGATTGCTTCCAACAGAATATAACAAAATACATAATCCATGCTAACGTTTGCTAGGTAACTTGTGTGTATTCCTTGGACTGCAGAATGAATTCTAAACCCTGGGTGGATGGGTTTGTACTGTTATTATTACATCCTTGGCATAACTAACAATTCCAACCATAACTTTTGTACAGATTTGTCTTTTTACCTATATTTATGTTCCTGCACTGCATGGACAAATAATGGGAATAACATTTTAGAAAACATCTCGGTGACACTGGAGAACTAAGTTTTAACAAAAAGTGTATTCAAGGAGCAATGTGCTTCCCAGTGCCTATTTCATACTTGACACAGGGACCTAGATTCTTCAAAACATTTTTTTAACTTCTTTTAATAGGTTGGCATCTTTTGTGTTTCTCTTTATGTAAGCAACATAATGATTCACAAGAAACTACCAGATTTTGGTCGGTCATTTGCTGTTAGTTATTTACTGTTTCATTGCTTCATTTTTAGAGCCACTGCATGCAAGTTTGGCTGCAGAGGAGCTGAATGTGTCTTCATAGCATTGTATCTTGAATTTGGCCTCAGCTACGACAGGTTTTTACTTCATTATAAACGATGGGGGGGGGGGAACTTCATGCTCCACTCAAGGAACTTCATGCTTCACCCAACCCCTGATCACCCTCTTGCTACGCAGGCTGGCTAGTGGGCTCTTCCCTAACACATCCTTGTCAGAACAGCCTGTCATGCTCAAAGATACCAATTTTTCTCCCATCTTGTGAAAAATCAACTGTTGATCTCCAGGTGTCAGCACATTACTTGTACACAATTGTCCCTTTCAGACAGAATATTAGGTTGTCTGGTAGATCAATTAGGCCCCTCCTCTGAACTGGAAGAACACTGGTTCCATGTGAACATACTTCATGCTTTGACTTTCCCAGCACAGCTCAGCCTTCCAGGGAGTAGATGCCTGGTGACCTGAGGCAGGCACCATACATCTCCCTGGGTTTAAACTGTCAGACATATTCACATTTAGCATATTCCTTCTCCAGCTCCCAGCATACAGCTTTTTACCCCAATTTAAGCCCTCTGACTTAGAAAAAACATTATGAAGCATCCATACTAGCCTTTAAAAAACAAAAAAAAAAGTGCTAACTTAACCGACAGTTAAAACCCTCTAAGAAGTACAAAACTGAAAATCAGGACTGTATAGACGGCCCAGACATCGTGAGTTATAATCCAAGCACAACAACAAAAAGGCTAGTTTACATAAAAATCTGGGAAATTAAACTTTCTTTTAAGAGTAACATGTAATACTTATTTTCCTAAACCAAACATAAGGAACTCATACTTCATTTGTATAAGAATTGTCCTGACCTTTTGTGATCATTAAATATCTCATTTTTTCACAAAATCGTGACATTATTCATGGCTCTATGGTTGACTTCCCACATAGGTAATTACATTTTGTCTGAACAAATTCTTCTGCCATTTCAAGTAGACACGGTTTTCTCAAGCTCCTCCTATCAGGAAAGGATATTGAATTCAACAGCTGCTGAATTCAACCCTGTCAGAGGATGAAGTGGTCCCTAAACCTACACATGTATACTCCTACACCAGCTAGCCTCACGGGGGTTTTTTTGGATTTCGAGGGAAAAACATCTGACTGATGATCACCAATTGCAGCGTATCTTATGTAAAAAAAAAAACCTGAAATTTAAATTTAAAAAATGCAGTAGAAATGCCTTTTCATTATGCCTCATTCTGGGCTATTTTATTTTCCATTTTAAAAAGGCAATGTGAAAGGTTACCTTATACATTAGTCGGTCTGACAGAGAGGTGAGATATCATTGTGAGGAAGAAATACTACAAAAGTATTTACAGCTTGACTCTTCAGTATGCAACATGGCTCCATGCAGCTGTTCACTGAATGTATGTCAACTGGTTTACTTTAAGGAACAAGAGTTCTTAAAGCCACAATTTAACAACAATAGAAGCAAGTTTAATCTATACTGTTTGCCGCCTACCGTGAAAATCTTCAATCTCTGAGTCAAGCCCAGGAATTCAATGCAGCAAAGCATGACAGAAAAGGCGTACCAGCTCTTATTTCTCTCACACAGTTTACAAGTTTGCCTAAGAAGTTTTCTACAGTTTGCCCTGCCACACTTA